CGGGAACCAAGGTGCTATCATTGTCATTTGAATCAGACCCCTCCAACTCCTCCTCAGTGGGGATGACAAAGTTAAAGTCGAGGTCTGAGTAGGCCTTCTCTATTTTGCGTTGAAAGACCAGTCATCCTGAGGCCCACTTGGTGGTGACATCATCCTTCAGCTCGACTATTATGTTATCCCTCTCCTTGAGAACTTTCTTCTGCACCTCGAGCTCACCGCATAGGCCCTCGTTCACCTCAGCCAGTTTAACATACTCCTTCCTAAGGCTCTCGAGGGAGCCCCGAGCATCAAAGACTTCCTGGCTAGCTTTGTTCCAGGCAGCTCTTCCCTGGTCATCCTTAGCTCATCCCTGACCTTCTTCTCTCTTTCCTCAGCCCTGTCCTTAGTAGCTTGAAGGCCCTCGTAGTCAGAGGAATACTTCTCCATTTGTTCCTCGAGCTTCTGCACCTGAGCTCTGAGGCTCTCATTGTCAAAGGTCAGCTCAACGACCTTAAATTCGTATGTCTTCAAAACTTTGGTAGAATCCTCCGAAGATCGGACCCTGTCCATCAAGTTCTTCAAATGGAGAGCCATTTGTGAGAAAAAAAAAAGGAAACAAACATAGATCAGCACAATTCAACCGCGCCGAGCTAAGAGCCAATGTGAAAATACTTACAATGGCTGCTCCCTGGAGAGCTGAGCAGAAAGAGGCCTTAGGAGGCATGATAGAGGCCCTCTAAATATCAGTTTCAGGGAGAATGGATGAAATGGCCCCAGCAGCCAACTCAGCATTGTCGAAGAAGAAATCTTCATCAGTCTCCTGGTCCTCCCTCCTTTTGACTTTGGGACCCTAGAGAGGCAGCTGGGATGGGTTCTCAGGCGGTCTGGGGGGTGCAGAATCTGGCTTGATTCCAGTAATCAGCCTCAATGTTCCCTCAACCTCAAAAGAGATAAGGGAAGCCAACCCTGGCTCGGAAGTCTTTTGGGGGGCAAACTGGGCCCTTTGAAAAGGAATGGGCCAGGGATTGAGATGAGGGAGTCTGTCCTCCCTTGCTCAGGGCAGAAGAAGAGGGCACTCCCAGCTTCTGCACTTTAGCTCTGTCAGTAGGGCTGCCTCCAGAGCTGGTATCGGCCTTCCGTTTGCCACTTTTCCTACTCTTCTTCAGTAGGTCAACTTTGGTCTGGAGCTCCTCAAGGGTAGATTTCATTATGGAGGAGCTTGGGAGATCTGGACCAAGCAAGTTTGACAAGAGAAAGGAAAAATAAGGAAAGACAAGGGAACCAACTCATAAAGTGTTACCTTCTATGTCTTTAGGCCTAACAACTGAGATAGGGAGCGGAGCTTCAATCGATACCTCAGGAGGACTGAATCCCTGTGTTATTAAGACCCAGGGCTTAATGAGCTCGGAGTACTTCTCTGGATTGCACTTCTCCAACTTTCGCTTCATCCTCTTGTCCTCAGCACTGAGCTCTAGTCGAATGCCTGAAATGCAACACAAGGAGAGCAAAGGTAAAAAAGGTGACTCAACGATTCCTAAACTAGAGCTCAATCAGTTCGAGCAAGAGCTCACCTAAGTTATCAGGGGCGGACCAAGTTCTAGGGATACCCAGAGTATCAGTCCTGTCAGCAGGGTTGTACTTCCAGTTGAGGCCCCCAACAAAAAAGAATTGTTTCTTCCAACCTTATGGGAGCTCGGGAGATGAGTAATGATTTGCCTAGCTGTGGTTCGCTTGGAGACATATAAGAAACCCTCTGATGAGGTGAGCTTGACTTTCAAGAGATCCACAAGCACGGAATGGCTGGGGACCCCGAGTCCATGAATCTTAAAGAAAACCAGAAGACCCACAAGTACACTCCAGAAATTAGGGGAGAGCTAAGTAGGGCAGACATTGAAGTATTGCAAAACACTCTTGATGAAGGGATGCATAGGGAAGCGAAGACCATTCTCAAAAGCTGCCTCAAAGAAACATACCCTCATGTGAACTTGGGCAACGTATGGGGTGTATTTATCTGGACACCAAGAGGAAAATCGTAACGAGCACTGAGAATTCTCACATGAGAAGAGTCAACCTCACTAGGTCTTACGAGCTCAGTGTGCCTAAAGGTGACCCCTATGCTCGCTGAGCTGTCAGAGACTCCTATCCCACTCACCTTGCCCTTACCTTTGATAGGATTAGGGGGCACAGAAGAAGACGATGAGGATGGTTCCTCAGTATTTTTCTCGGCATCGACAGCATCCACACCGGGGAAGTTGTCAATTTCTTCGCCTACATCCCCTAAATCAGTGTCCTCTTTGGCAGACCTTTCCCCCAAGAGAGAAGCAGAGAAGCGTGTAACTCTAGAAGGAGTAGACATAACTGAAGAGGAGAAGGGTAAACTGAAAGAATGGTAGAGATGGGGAATACCGATTAAACACTCCCTAATAACCTTAGGGTCAGCGCAGTAGCTTCCAATAGCAAGGATTCGCATGATAGAAGACCAGTCCATGAAGTGGGGGAGGGGAGACAAACAATAATTTCGATTCCAAAAGTAAAAGAACCGAAAGGCCCAGAAATGCAATAGCCACCTCGAATTCGAGGGATCCAGAAGGATAAAAGATGAAAAAGGGACCGAAGGGCGTACCTAGGGGGAAAGAGTAACGAACAACAGCCTGGAACGAAATAAAAGAAAGAGGGCAATGCGAATCTTCAAATCGAACCCACAAAACTCGATCTTGAATGAGGAATCAGAGAATTCCAAACTAGAAAGCCAAGAAATCATAAGAAGAGAGAAGCAGTAGAGAAGTTGAACAGTGGAATAGGGCGGTTCAGATAGCTATTTGAGCATTTAAAGCCTGAAAGACGTGGGCTGAAATGTGCACGAGAAACAAAGAAGTCATGATTGTCGAAAGTCGCCAAAAAGGCCAAACTCACGTGCGGGCCAAGGTCAACCATGTGCAGACCCACTCGGTTTACAAAACAGCTCAACCCCTGCCCAAGCCCGCTTGAACCAGGGGCTGGAGGGCAACTGATGATACCTCAAACAAGCCCTAGCTGTGAGGTCAGGTCAGAAGATAGGGTCAGGAGTTCAGGAAAGACACGAGGAACTCAGAGAACCAGGGGTGGAGTTACCCTTAGGGAGATCGTAGCTGAACTGACCAGGAAACGGCTGGATGACTACGGGAATTAGGCCCCATGCATGAAACTATCAACCAACCGAGATTCTCTCCTAAAATCAAGGAGGATCCCATGAATAATGGGCAAAGATCTTGACCGAAATCCCGCGGAATAGGGGGCAGCCTTATAAATACTATGCAACGCCTCATCATAAGGCGAATACAGAGGGAGAAAGGGAGAGAAAAAGAGAAAAACCCTAATCAGTTTAGCACTGTCTTGTATTACATTCAACTAATCAATAGAGAAAAAGAGGAGCAAGAACCTCCATTGAATAGTAGACTAGCCGAGCTCCTGAGCCGGTGAACCACTATATTTTTACTGTGTACATCCCTTTAATCCCCTCAATATTTGATTGTAGCATCATACACGGGCCTTGAAGCTTTGATACACGTTCATCTCACTGTACTTGCACCTTTTGCTCATCCACGTTGGTTTACGCCATCAAAGTCTATCTAGCATTACTAATATTTTATCCTCTCTCTCTCTCTTTCACACACACACACACACAGATGTAATTGTATAATGGCAGATCTGTTTCCCAATTGTAAAACTGACATGCAAGTGATTGCACCCAATGCAGCGTATACATACACATAATAGGGATGCAGCTGATGTAAGAGTTCTTCCATTACATTCTAACCTTATGAGAAGAATTTTCTTCTCATTGTTTAAGATAAATTCATTTGTATAGATAGATTTTATTAGTAGTAAAGTTATTCAATGGAGACGTAAAGTTAATCAAATTCTTACACTCACCGCGTACACACATAAAGAGAGAGAGCTAATATGTTATGCATGGATACTAGTATCCATATTTCCTACGTGACATATTGTTGTTTTTTTCACAATGAGATTATCAACATAATCGGTTTGCGATTGAAACTCGAAATTACAATACTTCTTAGGCTTGGAACCACAATATACGAGGTAAGATGAAAATACTAAATCTATATATTATGTTTCATATTGTTTGATAAACATGTAAAATACTTTATAGATGTAATTTTAGACATTCATTGGATAACATATGTTATGTTACAAGACAAAATTGTCCATGTAATCTATGCTCTCCCTGGTGCTCCTCAATCTGATTGGATAATAACTTTTGGGGTTGTGGCAGATGATATGATGTGATCCATTTTCCAAAAGCCCACATCCCTGGGGTCCATAAATTTGTGATAAATTTCAAATGAGGATGTTTGAGCTTCAGGATGAATTGTAATGAGCTAAATAAAATTTATTACCCTAAAGCCTCCTTGCAAACCTAACTTAAAGTGGACAATATTGTACAATGAGGATCCATGTCATTACAAATCGAATAAATTTTCAAGTTGCCTCAACAAGTATCTTATAACATTCATTTGAAGGAAAGGATAAGAGAACAAATGATGTACATAAAGTTCACAAAGTCAGAACCCAAAGTTCAAATATAGACTATACATGTAAGATATCAATTTTGGCTGTGCTGAAGACAGCGATTGACAAGTACATCACTATATATTGCAAGACATATAAATCTCACTCATAACAACTTGATAGCCATAGCCAAAACCTTATATGGGGAGAATGGTAGTATTCTCCTGATACTTGATGGCAAGAACTAGTCGACCTTTGAGCCCTCACTAATCCTCCGCAAATCTAAATTCGAATACAGTACAAATCAATTACCAAATGATGACAATAATGCAAAAAATATAAAGTAAATAATCAAGGAAAAAGAAAATAACTCACCCGAGCTCTGAGAGCTTCAAATGAGCTTCGGCATAGTCTGCGAAAAAGGCATCCTCATCCTCGAGCAAAATAATCATTCAGTCAAGATTCTTTTGTGTGCATATCAATGAAAGAGATAGATAAAACTTCATGATTCAAAATGTTTTACATATTGCAGCATATTTCTCAACTGAAGGGCGGAATACTAGATCCTCCAGAAGAGTTTTATCTGATGGAAGCTGGATAAGACCTTCTTTGTCTCCACTTAGGAGTTCCCTATCAAAATAAATTAGAATCAAATCAGTAAATTGGTTGCTCCCTATATTTGTCTCGAGCAATTTGGAGCAAAATTACCAAGTACAATTATGATAATAGTTTTTTGCAAATGGAAAGCGAATCAACTTGGGTAAGCATATTCAAAAAGAGAAACCAAACTCACTTGAAGTAAGAGTTATCAAAGATGAGAAGATTTGTAGTCCAAGGTCCCTCAAAACCAGAACACTCCTTATAACACTGTCCCTGTTCAATAGTCCCCGGCAAACACAGAAAATTAGTCGACATTATTGCAAATAACATACTCTAATCATATCAATACTGATATTCCATTGAAGTTTTTTAAAAAAATGCAGCAGCACAGTTTCCTAAACCTACCAGAGTGTGGCCACCTGATAGAGCAACAATATCTTTATCACTAAGCCCCATGTGGCCAAAAAGTCCCTCAGATGGTCCGAACCTGAAAAAATAGCAAGATTGTAGAAACACTGAATGACTTATATAACCCCGACATTCATAGCTACTTCATCTGATTATAGTGACAAAAAAAAGGAAGTAACCTTTGCATTCGGTAAGCAGCCTTCTAAAGGTGGGTCATTTTTGTCCTGAGACCAACGTACTCATTTTGGTTACTACAATTATTAACAAGTCAAGAGCAAGTTAATTATGTCAACTAGACTTCAATGATCATGAATGGGTAATATTTGAATTGATTTCTGATGAGCCCGAAATTAACTGGGCCAGGCCCAACGAATCAAGAGAGGCCCACAGAGCCCAAGTCATCTCAGAGTCCAAGTCATCAAGTCAAGCAGGAATCCAAGGGGGACACCCCAAAGGGGCACCACCCAAGGGGATCCCTTCCCTCCTTAGTTCCATGTTCCTTCTTCTGCGCAATCCTTCGCACTTTCTACTTTGCCACTCCGACTCAAGTCCAACCCATCTCAGGATCGTCCTTCTACGGAATAGGAGCACGAGGGAAAGAATATCAAGATTCGGACATCCAATCCTACTAAAATTGTACATACCAAAATAATAGAAGTCCTCTCCCTCACGTCACTGCCTCACCCGCCTTACTAAGCCTATATAATGTAAACTCTCTCTACATAAATGGTATCACCTCATCACCTTTTTGATGCCTTCATGACCTTGAGATCCCTACACATTCTACACCTCCCTACACACATTGTTCCCCTCTCCTAAAGCATTGTAATACTCCCAAAGTATATTCTTTCAGTTACATTATTCATCAATAAAGACCCAAGCCACTGCTGTAGTTCCAGAGAGTGGAGTAGGTCACCCGAACCGAACCACTATAAATCTCTGTGTTGTTCCTTTATTGTTTTTATCATTAATTGCTTGTTTATTGCTCATTAACTGCACCCATTCATATTCTTGACTGTTGATTTTGCACAACACCGACTTGTACATCATCAGGTTGGCGCTGTCTGTGGAAAAGGACTAATTTTTCTACTCTTTTAATCCATGATAATCACTACCAGTTCAATGAGCCAATATCCAGGAGACAACAACCCGGCCCACCAAGAGGAGGCTTCGCCTTCCCTCACACCTGTAGACCCTTCTGCTATTGTGACTCCCGCCGGGCAACAACAGCAGCTCCTCTGAGCCATGCAACTGTTATTGAACCAAAAGCACCAGATCATTGAGTTGATGCTCGCCCAAGGGGGCATTACCCTTCACACTGTGGGAGGAGTCCCACTCCCTCCAACAGAAGAGGAGCAACAACCTATCCCTTCTGGGTGCTAGACAACCCCCCACCATGGGGGCCCTCACCAGAATACTCCAGGGCCACGCCAGGGCGCCCCTTGCCCGACAGTCCCTGCTCAGCGCGTAGAGAGCTTTTGGGTACCCCCTCCGCACGTACCTACATAGGAGAACGAAGATGGAGGAAGCCAATATGAAGACCATGAAAGCCAGTACCACCACCCGACTGAGGATATCCCCAATTAGTGGGAGGAGAAGATTAGAGAGGTGCAAAACCATCTCAGTGATGCCCTCAACGCCATCAAGGCATAGGCACTCGAGATAGTAAACTACCTGGTAAGACGCACTAGCACACCTTTTGTTGCTGACATAGTCAATTATCCCTTACCCTCGAAGTTCAAGATGCCTACCATCGAGATCTTCGACAGTACTAATGGCCCCCATGATCACCTAGACAACCTACAAATCCCTTACTCAACTACACAACGTGCCTGAGGAGATTATGTGTAGAGCCTTCCCTACCACCCTCAAGGGGTCCGCACGCCAATAGTTTGCAAAGATGAAGCCCTCTTTAATTCACTCATTCGCGGAGTTTAGTAGATCCTTCGTCTCCCATTTTATTAGGGGACGCCGACATCAGAAACTAGTGACCCACTTGCTCACCATCAATCAGGACATGGATAAAAGCCTCAGAGACTACCTTGCCCGCTTCAACGAGGAGCTAGATAGCAAGGTGGCCGTGGCCGCCTTTATCACAGGCATGTGCTATTCCAACTTTATGTTCTCCATCCTCAAGAAGTCGCCCTCCAGCATGCCCGAGCTGCTGTCTAGGGCACAAAAATACATGAACGCCGAGGAAGTCACCAAAGTCCATCGGGGTGAGTCCTCCCAAGGAGGGGAGAAAAGGAAGGACACCCGTGAAGACAAGTCGGAGGCGGAGAATAAGAGAAAGAGAACCAAGAGAGTCTCAGTCAAGGACCGTCTCGATCCCATAACCCTGAGAGAACGACAGTTTTTCATGCCACTCAACACCTCGGTGGAGCACATCCTATTCCAAATACATGATGACCCCACTTTCTATTGGCCCGGAAAAATGAAGTCCTCCCAAAACCGCATAAATCCCAGTAGGTACTGCCGTTTCCATTCAGACTACGACCATGATACTGATGACTACTTTGATCTTAAAAGGCAGATCTAGGAGCTCATACAACGTGACCAGTTAAGGCAGTATGTTGCTGGCAGAGGACAAGCCCCGCCACCTGGTTGGGACCAAAATGACAGAGAATGCCAGCAACCCCTCGGAGAAATCTAAACGAGCTTCTAAGAGCCAGGTGGAGGAGTTGACTCAAACTCTGCCAAGAAAGCCTCGACCCAACTATGGGACACTGAACACCAAAAGACTTTATCTATACTTTATTGTTTCAGTTGATTTATTTTGTTATCTGTTATTTTATAAAATAAAATTCTGCGAAGATTATTGTGTCCAGAATTGTCTTGTTTTCCTAAAAATTATAATTAGCTTACAGAACATGACCTCACAATAAGTTGGACAAAAAAACAGTAGTCATTATATTCTCCACTATCATCAAGGCTCTCTCTGTCACCAACTACGGATGGTGCCCCATAGGGGACGAAGCCAGAGAAATCAACAATGGCCCTCCCAGCTTCAGGCGCCCAGCACTAGGCGATAGCACCACCAGGAGCCCAACACCAAGTGACCATTCATCACCAGGCGCCCAGCACCCCTCGGCGCCAGCGCCCGGCAGGAGGCGCTTATCATTAGGAGCCCAACACCTCGGCACCCCACTTATCTCCTCAATGCCCTCCTTCTCTCCTCCATCTCTATAAAGTGAGCCTCTGCCTAAGTAGCTCTCCCAAGTGCTACTCGAAGGTCAGCCTCCAAGTTGGACAACCCTCTCATGTGTTAGCCTTAACTTTTCAGCGACATCCTCTTGTGCCTGCCGTGCAAGCTCTGCGATATCGTCTCGTGCCTGCCGCTCAAGCATCAACCGCACTTCAGTAGCTTATATCTTCAGGTTCACACTCTCTCGAGAGTCACAAAGAAGTTTGACCTTATCTAGCCTCTGCTACGATAGCTATATGACTCTGCTCTGGAGCATGTAGCCACCTTGTAAGCCTCTACTATGGCAGCCATATGACTCTGCTCTAGCGCATGTAGTCACCTTGTAAGCCTCTGCTACAACAGTCATATAACTCTACTCTTGCGCATGTAGTCACCTTATAAGCCTCTGCTATGACAGTCATCTCCCGAGACTATATGTAGCTCAGCCTATATGTGACAAGCCTCTGCTATGGCAGTCATTCCGCAAGACAATGCATAGCTCGGCCTTAGTTCATGTAACCCTCTAACGGGACATCCACATCTTTGACTTTGCTCTCATTCAAATAGCCTGTCTCTCTCTCCAGGTAATCATGTTAGATATTTTAATGTTGAGATAACATTGTTTTTACCAGGCACATTACAACCCGAGGGACTATGCTAGATTGACACCAAGCCACTACTAGAAATATGACAGCTATGTGACGCTACGATCCCCATAAGAATCGCATCGGAGTCTCAACTCCTACAACGGTATAAGGGCTAGTTCTAGTACACACAGGAGTCACAGTTTGGGAAAGGAGAGGGGCATCGCTAGATCCCGCTCTTGGGGAGCAACTTGGCCATCGGAGCAGACCTCGGCCGAAAAGCACTGAGGGCATCAGACCTCACCCTTTTGGGAGGAGGAGAAGACACCACCCTAAAAACACAAGAGAGTCTCCATCATTGCTCTGTCAACAAGGCGCCTATAATTAGAGATAAGGTCAGTTAGTGACCAAACACCAGAGAGGTGCCACCCATAGTAAAACTCAAGGCGTCCTCCAAACCCAGTAGTGCCAAGACCTCCTGGCATCGCCCAAGGCGCCTGACCAGCCTCCTTGCACTGCCCAAGGCGCCCTACCAACCTCTTGGCGCCTGCTAGCCTCCAGGTGGCACCCACAGCAGCCTCCACCGTTGCCCAAGAGAAAAAACAAAAAAAAAAAAAGAAAAAGAGGAAGGGAGGTAGCAACCAAGAAGAAAGAAATAAAAAAGAAAAAGATAAAAAAGAAAGAAAAAAAAAAGAAGAGGAGGAGGAGGCGGCGCCTAGGCCATAGAAGAAAAAAAAAAGGAGAGGAGAATATGGCGCCCAGGCCAAAGAAAGAAAGAAAAAAGAAAAAAAAATGAAGAAGAAGAGAAGGAGGCGATGCCCAGACCAAAGAAGAGAAGAATAGAAAAAATAAGGGAAGGGGGGCCAGCGCCCAAAAGGCCAATGCCCAAGCCAAAAAAAAAAAAAATTTCAGCAGAGTCCCCGAAGATAAAAAAGCACTGTGGGAACAAGAAAATTTCTACTCAGGTGAAGAAGAAGTATATGCCCTTAACCCCTTCCTCTCAAAAAAAATAAAAATAAAAGGCTTAGGGGCAAATGATGAGCCTGAAATTAACTGAGTCAGGCCCAAAGAATCAAGAGAGGCCCACGGAGCCCAAGTCATCTCAGAGCCCAAGTCATCTTAGAGCCCAAGTCATCAAGTCAAGGAGGAGTCCAAGGGGGACACCCTAAAGGGGCGTCGCCCAAGAGGCTACCCCAAAGGGGCGTCGCCCAAGGGGATCCCTTCCCTCCTCAGTTCCATGCTCCCTCTCCTGTGCAGTCCTTTGCATTCTTCACTTTGCCACTCCAACTCAAATCTAACCCTGCTCAAGATCGTCCTCCGACGAAATAGGAGCACGAGGGAAAGAATATCGGGATACGGAGATCCAATCTTACTAAAATTGTACTTACCAAAATAGTAGAAGTCCTCTCCCTCACGTCG